CACCCAGCAAATAAAGGAAAGAAAAAAACTATTTACCCTTTAGGGGGCTGTATTTCCTCTGGTGATTTTCAACAAAACAATTACCTCTGCCCTAGAAATTAGCTTCCTGCACTCCTGATAGCGAGCTGTTTGTGTCCTTTCTTTTTCCCTCTTCCTCCGCTGAATGTTTGAACACCACTTTTCATTTTCCAGATTTTCTGCTCCTGTCAAGCCATCAGGTGACAGCACAGGAAAGGCCGTTTCATTTTCCAGTAGCAGATGGTGCATTAAGACTTGGCCTGCTACAGCATTTTGTGGATCCAAGGGCTCTGCAGTGTAATGCAGGAGCTCTTTCATAGACCACAGTTTTGCCCTTGCTGGGTTGGTTACCCTTTGCTTCACACCTGGAGGTTTGGTTTCCTGGAGCATGTTGCCCGTGTTGTGAGCTCCGAAGCTGCCTTATGGTCTGTGCTTTGTTCCACCATCCCCAGCTGGGTCTCAGTCTCTGGTAGAAGCGACACTGTAAAGTGCACATCAGTAACAGCAGCACCAAGTCTACTGATAGAGCCATTCTGTGGCTGCAAGAATGGAGGTAAGAGAGATATACAAAGCATTCAGTCCAAGACATATATCATAGAATCACATATCATAGAACGGCCTGCGTTGCACAGGAGCACAGTGCTCATCCAGCTCCAACCCCCTGCTGTGTGCAGGTCGCCAACCAGCAGCCCAGGCTGCCCAGAGCCACATCCAGCCTGGCCTTGAATGCCTGCAGGGATGGGGCATCCACAGCCTCCTTGGGCAGAAGACATGGCATGACACTGCATCCTCCCAGGCACAGACTCTTGAGCACGTGTCCATCTCCATTCTGCATTTACCACCCGAAACCACGTTGCTCTGCTGGTCAAGCACGTTGAGGAATGTGCTTTTATGCAGCATCGTTCATCTGGATGGGTCCCAGCCCTAGCAGGAATGTTAAGTGGTTTTACATAAGGCATTACGTAGGATTAGAGAATGTGATCTGTTTGCATTGTAGTCTTGAGAAGAAGAACAGCGAAGGTTATTTTAATGAGATCTAGCTGGTAACGGTCGATGCAAAGCTGCACCAATTTCTAGCTGAACAGTGTTATAAAAGTGCTTTTTAAAGCAGCACAGGGTGCTGGGCACGTGAACAGCTGCTCACTCTCAAATAGGAAACTGAGCTGTGAAACACCAGCACTCAGAAAAAGAAATCGGCCCTCCTTCTCATGAGAGTGCCGAAGCATCTTAAATTTCACATTGTTTAACGATCTCACACTGGAGGTGTTCAAAACTGTTCTGCAAGATTGCTTCATGGTGCATTTGACAACTAAAATAGATGAGATGCACAGCAACAAGGAAGCTGAAGGCACAGTAATCAGCAACAAGGCCTGCGGCTTTCCCCCTCGTCGATTCATGCCATGCACTCTATTTTACATCAGATTTCATTCATTGTTGAGGAGACAAAGTAGGCTCTCAAGAAATGCTGCAGCTTTTTCCCTACTTTTTTTTTTTTCTTTTAAGTTTGTGGTTTGGGTTTTTCAGATTGCTTCTCCTCTCTGATGAAACACATGCTTTTGCTACAGTGCATCTCTCTGCTGCCACGAGCCAAGGACTTTCCTGGAGGGTAGGATTGAGGAAGATACCCACCCACTGCCCTATTCCTGGGGATGCCCAAGGCCAGTTGGATGGGGCTCTGGGTGGCCTGATTTGGTGGCTGGCACCTTCCCTGCCCACAGCAGGGCGGTTGGAACTAGGCGATCTTTGAGGTTCCTTTCCAACCCAAGCCATTCTGTGATTCTGTGACATAGGAGATGAGCTACTTCCAGGGCAGCTCTCTGACACCAAATCCAGCTCTGCCTGCAGCAGGTAGGATGCTGAGCATACAGCAGCTTCTCGGTGTCATTTCAGGAGCTCACAGTGCTGCTCACACTGCTTCATGCTGATTTCTGTTGGGGGATCCACAGACAACGCAGACAGGGCAGGTTTTGCAAGGGTGGAATGACCTCCCCTTATTGGTGCATCCCTTTGGAGCTGGGAGCAGCTGGGATCACAGTGAGCACATGATGGTCAGTACAAAGGATGCCAGAAAAAAAAAACAAACCCACAAACATGCTAACAAGAGGACCGAAGATATCCTGATGCAGGAGCAGAAAGGAAAGGTTGTTGCTCTGCTCAGGTGCTCTGAAAGGAGAGAAAAGTCACGCAGGGTTGGAAGAACAAAGCCTTCCTAGGCTGCCAAGAGGCACAAAAGTCAAACAAGACCCTCTGCCAGCTTGAAGCCAGCTCCATGGGCAAGGATTTGTTTTCTAGGGAAGGAAGAGGAGTGCAGGTGGCCACGCATTACTCCTGTGTCACCTTGTTTACATCACTGTGTCCCAGGTCGCTCTGCAGCTGAGCGTGCTGTTTGCACTCGGCAGGAAGGAAGCCAGGGCAGAGGTGAGCTGGCAGCTTCACCGGCACCAACTGCTCAGCATGAAGATGTGGAGAAACGTGGCTGCTCAATTCAAAGCCACATTAACAAGGGGACTTTCAGAGAGCTGCCTGGAAACCCATCTGCCACCCCTGCTTTGAGGTGCACGAAACCTGGCTGGAGCATACTGCAAGCATCTTGCTGAATCATGCAGGCAGGTAGGATGCACAGGTATTTTTGCCAAGGCACAAGAGGAGCTGGAACCCTCTCCCTGGGAAGAGGTGTATTTTGGGGGGAAATCCTAGAAACAAACTTGGCACACACAGGCTTTGGCTTGGCCTTAGTGCAGCCACGTTGCAGAAAACAGACCAGCAGGGAAGGATGTTTTGAATAGAGCGTCCATCCATCCGTCAGCGTAGGAGAGAAAGAAAGAAAGAAAGAATTAAAAACAATATTGGAGATACATGGGAAGCTGGGCTCAGAAGCTGGGCTCTTACTGACCTTTACAGAGAAATATGAGGAAGGAAGAGGAGTCTGGGAAGGCTGTGGTTCCTCCTGCAAAACCGGTATTGTCTGAATCCATGGCTGAGAGTGGGATATTTTGTTCCAGTTCAGCAAAACCTTGCAGGAGTCCTGAGGGTGTCGTTTGGGGTGAGGGACCGACTGGGAACTGGCCTGGTGGTCTAAATCAGATTAGAAGAATTGCATCTGTTTATTGCAGGCCTTGTGCAATTGCTTGTTGTTCCTGACCAGCAAACCCAGCTGTCCCCACATGCACTCTGAGGTTTCTCTGCTCGAAGATTTTGGCTGATATCTCCTTTATCTCAATCACTTCTTATCTTCTTAACTAGTTCCTTCAGTTTACAGAGCACCTTCCAGAGGAAAGCCCTCCCCACAGAGCGATTAAACAAGTTAATTAATTAACTGCTGAAATTCCATCTCCTCTATGAGTTAAATGGCTCTGTTACAGCTCTGGTGTGCAGTGATGTTAACAGAAGCAAAGAGAATTCCTCTGGTTGCAATCTCCATGTATACGTGGGTGGTCGTAACACAGTTTGGGGTGAGAAATAGGAACCGCAGGAACAGGAGGATTTCCTAAGCAACAGGGATCTGCTTTGCTTAAAAATACTTCAGTAAAGGGGAAAGAAAAGCAGAAATTTGAGACAGGTTTCAGCTTTCAAGAAGGGGCGAAACGCTGATTTTGTTTTATTCCTTTTTGCTATTTCCTAGGAATCTTGGCCTCTTAACCTGAGAGTAAGGACACAGCAATGAAAAGCGATGACAAATCGCTGCCACAGAGGAGTGTAAGTGCTTAGGAGAAGCACAGCTAAGGTCTGAATCCTGTGCACTTTCTCATGAAATTAAGCAGAAGCAGTGAAAAAGCAAACAGTGAGCAGGCAGAAGTGATACGAACAACTGTGGGGAAGGGGGAAAAGGGCTCCAGAACCTCATACAGCAGCGTGGGAACAGCCCTGGATGGGATGGGAAAATGGGGACCCTCTGAGCAGCCCCCAGTGTGCAGTGGCACCCGAAGCAGAGCGGAGATTGTGCAGCACCCACCCGGCCCTTACATAAGCATTGCACAATGCTTCTGCTCACGAAGGATGGGAAAAGCGATGGTAAATGCTGCCATGGTAAGTGGGCCAGGCGAGGCAAGGTGAATTATGAAACTGCCCCCGTGAGCAATGTGCTTTATTGGGTTTAAATCCAGGTTTTCTGCTCATTCTGTGGCCCTTTCAGTGCTGCATCCTCCAGCACTGCAGCTTGCTGACCCCACGGCCATGCTCATGTTCTGCACGGCACTTTCTCTTTTTGCCTTTCCCCCATTTAGCATTGTTTTTCCTTAAGAATCCTTCCACTGTGTGCCTGCTCAGCCCTGAAATTGATTCTTTGTGAGCTGCTCGGGCAGCAAGAACTTAAGGATGCTTCCGAGGGAAGGCTCCTCACGGGTGGAAATATGAAGGCAGGAAGAATCAGAGAACGACTTGGGTTGGGTTGGGTTGGGTTGGGTTGGAAGGGACCTCACAGCTCCCCCAGCCCCACTCCTGCCATGGGCTGGGTGCCCCCCAGCTCAGGCTGCCCAGGGCCCATCCACAGCCTCAGGCACCTCCAGGGATGGGGCACCACAGCTGTGGGCAGTGCCAGGGCCTCACTGCCCTCTGAGGAAAGACACCACAATGGAAAGTGAAAGTGAAAAATTGCCCGTAAATGGGGCAAGACAATCTTGACCTAAGCTGCAGTTCTCAAAAGCAATGAGGAAAGCAGGACTGGAGCCCATCTTGGCTTAATTAGACTTTCAAATTAACAGATCTCCTCTCCATCCTCCTTTTTTTTTTTTTCCCCTCTCCATTTCCCAGCTGCTTTTCTTTTAACCTCCTCTTTCAACCTATTTGAACTCTGCATGTCTCCAGCACAAGAAATCCCCTCTTGCAACACAGTCTGCTTCTTGGGCTGCTTCAAAGAATCAACAGGCTTTATTTTATATATATATAAAATCATAGTATCACAGAATGGCCTGGGTTGCAAAGGAGCACAGTGCTCATCCAGTTCCAACCCCCTGCTGTGTGCAGGTCGCCAACCAGCAGCCCAGGCTGCCCAGAGCCACATCCAGCCTGGCCTTGGATGCCTGCAGGGATGGGGCATCCACAGCCTCCTTGGGCAATCTCCATTTGTTGAGGGCTTAGCTCCTTTTCCCATCCTTCTTAGGTTCTGTCTGTGCTGTCCCCCTGTGATCAATGCAGGCCATACCTCAAGAGCTGCACTGCACTCCCTTCAGAAGGGCAGCACATAGCTGTGGTCCTGGATCCATCAGCAAGCCTTACCAGCAGCCATACACCAAGGGCCAGGCTCTGGTCACATTTTGCACCTGGGTGTTGCCATGCACTTGTGCTGAGTCACCATTTCCAAGAGCAATGGATCAATTCCAAACACCAGGGGTCAGAGCGGGGGGAAGTCTGGTGGGTGATACAGAGTCACAGAATGGCCCAGCTTGGAAGGGACCTCAAGGATCACGAAGCTCCAACCCCCCTGTGCCATGCAGGGCCACCAACCTCCCCATTTCACAGCAGCCCAGGCTGCCCAGGGCCCCATCCAACCTGGCCTTCAACACCTCCAGGGATGGACGGGGCATCACAGCCTCTCTGGGCAGCTGTTCCAGCACCTCACCACTCTCACAGCACACAACTTCCCCCTGACATCCAACCTCCATCTGCCCTCCCTGAACTCCAAACCATTTCCCCTTGTCCTGCTGTTATCACAGGGGAACGGTTTTAAACCAAACGAGGGGAGATTTGGGTTAGATGTGAAATTCTCCATGCGGAGGGCGGCGAGTCCCCGGCACCGCGCACAGCCGTGGGTGCCCCGTGCCTGGAGGTGCCCGAGGCCGCGGACTGGTCGGGGCAGCTGAGCCGTAGCGCACCCAGCCTACAGCAGGGCTTGCGTGGCGATGTCCATTCCCAGCCGCCCATTGTGCGATCGCTGAGCCGCACCTTTTTGCGGCCCGGCCGCCCGCAGGCTGAGCGCACAGACGTACAGCAAGCAGGCTCCGTCCCCCGCCGCCGGCGCTCCCCGCGGGGCCGGGCCGGGCCGTGCTACGCCGTAGCGGGCGGGGATGCTGCCGGCGCCCCCGCCCGCCCCGCTCCACCGCGGCAGCCGCGCCAGACGCAGCGCGGCTCGGAGCCCGCACGGAGCCTCCCGCAGCCGCCCCGCGCCATGGCCCGGAACCGCAGGGAGAGGAGCAGCTGGGGTGAGCGGCGGGCCGAGCGGGGGGCGACGCGTCCCGGTGGCGGTCGAGGAGGAGGAGGAGCGGGGGAAGGGGGGGCACGGCCGCGGCCCGCCGCTGCGCCGAACAATGCCGCGGGGCGGGGGGCGCGCCCGGCTCCTCCCGGGGCTCGGCTCGGCCGGCGGGGCGGGGCGGGGCGGGCGGTGCAGCACGGCGGGTCCGGGGCAGGGGAGGCGGCCGGGGGCTGCGGTCGGCGGTCGGGCCTTGTGTGTGTGTGTCCGTCTGTCTGTCAGACGTCTGTCTGTCAGCCCGTGTCCGTGCGTTGGATGCTGGGGATGGGGGCCGTGCCGTGGGGCCGTCCCGAGCGGCCGCCGCCCTCAGCCGGGGCCCGGCCTGCGTGGCTGTCCGCCTGTCGGCATCCCCGCCGTCCCTTCGGAGCCCTGCGGCCCCGCACGCAGCCCGCCCCGTGCCCGGGGCTCTCCGCGTTTCTCGGTGTGCCGCAGCCCTGCGAAGAGGGGCCGCTTCCACACCGCCTGAGCCCTGGGAGCTTTTAGCATTGCCAGCGAAGAGGAGGAGGAAGAGGAGGAGGAGGAGGAGGAGGAGGAAGTCTCCCGGCCGCCTTCCTGCAGGCCTTCCCGTCTCCCAGCCGCCTTCCTGCGGGCAGGAGGGGAAAACTGCGTCCCCCTGCAGCCCCGGGGTCCCACAGGTGGGCTGTGCCCCGTGCACACAGCCTGGCCTTCACCTGCCCTGCTTACGGCCTTCCTCACCCGGTAGAAATTCAGCTTAGACGGTGTATAGCTACTGTTTAAGGCTGCAGGAGGCATGATGTGTCATTCCCCGTGTTCTGATCCCTGTAGTAAGGCATGAGAGCTCACGGCACCCCATCTGCAGGTGAGCGGAGCTCTGATGTTTAGATACACAAATTAGGTTCTAATTTGGATAGATGAGTGGAGTATTTCCCATGGTAATGATTAACGGCTCGGGGACATGTTTGCAGAAGCACACAGATAACGGAGGCTGTGATTGAAGCCAACGGAGCATGCGGTGTTCTTTTTGCAGGAGGAAATAAGCAGTGTGTGCCTGATGAGGGCTGTGTGTAACCATGACTGTGCAGGAAGGAGCTCAGACCTCGGGTAAACGGGGCTGACAGCTCGCAGCCAACACTGTGACATTCTCAGCTGTGTCTCACACGAGTGTCTGTCCCGTTTTTATGCGGGTTGAGCATTGCACGCACGTACGTGTGCTTGCACTTTCCCTTTGCATCTTGATGGTGTGAGAAAAAAATGCACGTGATGTCAAAACAGATTTAAACGGAGAAAAAAAGCCATCCCAGGAGGTATAGGCTTGGTCTAGCAAAGCAATTAGACACGTGCCTGGTGTGAGCATACTGCTAAGCCGTGCTGGAGTGAAACGAGGTCTGTTGCTGGTTTGCTTCTGGGTCAGCTCTGCAAGAACCTCATGTGGATTGATCACCTTCCATCCATCCACACACCAAACACAGGGCGTTCCTGGAGTGATTTCCCAGCACTATGCCAGGCTGCTTGACATTGCAATTAGTGCGAGAGCCAAATGCTGTGTTTTTTAGTACCAAACGGCTCCCTTTAGTAGATGCCTGCATGTATACGGCAGCAGCTCATCTGAAAGATGGGTTTTGTCAGCTGCCTGCATGGTGACATCCGTCTGTGAGGTGACTTCCAGTGCCTGTTTCTCAACCTGTCTGCTAAAGGAGCTCCTGGAGTGGGTCCAGAGGAGGGGCACTAAGATGATCAGAGGGCTGGAGCACCTCTACTATGAGGAAAGGCTGAGGGAACTGGGCTTGTTAGCTTGGAGAAGAGAAGGCTGCAGGGAAACCTCATGATGGCCTTCCAGAGCTTGAAGGGAGTGGATAAACAGGAGGGGAACGGCTGTGTGTGAGGGTGGGTGGTGACAGGACAAGGGGAATGGTTTTAAAGTGAGACAGGGGAGGTTTGGGTTGGATGTGAGGAGGAAGTTTTTCAGCCAGAGGGTGGTGAGGCACTGGCACAGGTTGCCCAAGGAGGCTGTGGATGCCCCATCCCTGCAGGCATTCAAGGCCAGGCTGGATGTGGCTCTGGGCAGCCTGGGCTGCTGGTTGGCGACCTGCACACAGCAGGGGTTGGAGCTGGAGGAGCACTGTGCTCCTTTGCAACCCAGTCAGTCTATGATTCTATGCAGGAGGGGTTTCAATCTCCTGCCTTCCAGGCAGTAAATTCAGTCAGTAAAAACACGACACTGTTTTGGAATGGATCAAACTTTGTCCTAGTTCCTAGTTGTTAGGCAGCCTGAAAGCTGCTCACTGCAACCCTCCACCTTTGTTTCATAAAAACAATTTGCTTTTTTTAAAGATCCTGGAGTGAATTGAGGTGAGCAATTGCACAGCACGCAGAAGGAATTGCTTCCAGCCAGCTACCAAGGCTGTGTTACTGCTGCACCTCCCCGCCTGGTCGTGCAGGGGCACGTTGTGCATCTGGCACAGGGCTTAGCCCTGGGCAGGAGGTCAGCATAAGGCTGTGCATCATTGGAGGCTCTCTTACAAATGTGCTGAGTGGTGCAGAGAGCTTACAGCTGCTGCTAGTTGTGGGATGGATGGCTGGGAGAGCTGTGTATGGAGAAATCATAGAACCATAGAAAGGAATCCTAGAATGGCTTGGATTCGATCTTAGAGATCATCTGGTTCCAACCTCCCTGCCTGAGAAATCACGCAGTGTTTTCGTCAGAGAAGGGGATCCTGCTTTTTCCTGGTCTGAATCATAGAATCATAGAATCACCAAGGTTGGAAAAGACCTAAAAGATCACCCAGTCCAACCGTTCACCTATTCCCAACAGCTCCCACTAAACCACGTCCCCCAGCACAACATCCAGCCTTTCCTTGAACACCCCCAGGGTCGGTGACTCCACCACCTCCCAAATCCCGGTGGGTGCAGTATTACAAAGCTCTGCAGTGTGTGGCAGTGGTAGTTTTTTCTGAGATTCCTTGTGCTTTTCACCTGCAGCACTTGGCTCCCTCTGCTGTGGCAAAACCACTCGAGATCTCTGCTCCCAGTCACTCATTTAAACAGCTCAGACGAGTACAAGATATGTGAAATCTCTCACTGCCCATCATGGCACGTGTTGCAATCCAAACGACCAGCTCGTCAAGAGTTCAGTTTCAAAACCATAAAGAGGATTACAGAGGTTCCTGGTCAGGCTTTTCAAACTGGACTTGAGCTTCGTGAGGGCTGTTCAAAGGGCCTGGCTGTCAGGAGGGGCTGAAAGCAGCTTCTGGAGGAAAGGTTTTCTTCCAAAACAGACCAGATTGAGTTCATCAATGCCACACTTTCTGCATGTACAGAAATGGGTTCAACTGGAAAAAAAAAGGGTGATTTTTGGGTACATATTATATATATATATTTAGGTAATATTGCTAACAGCCTTTTTGTTTGTCGTTTTGCTTGTGACTCTGGATGCCATGTGCCTCCTGAAGAATGAAAGCTGAGGCTTTTCAGGCAGCTGGGCCTTTGCACAAATGCTACTAGAGATGAGAAGTTTCACAACAAAATTGCTAGCCTGTAACTGAGAAGGGAAGATGAGGTGTTGGGGCTTGTGAGCGTGCCGAGCCAACAGTGCAAGCTAGAGCCCCAAATCCCTAAGCAGCTTTTGGTCTTTGTGTGCCCAGGGTTTTGAGAGGTAGCATTGCACAAAGAATGTGAACAGCGGGGTGTGAGTCAGTCAGAGATGAGCAGGAGCAAGTCCAACCTTGCCCCTCCTGCAGAGGAACAAAGATGTGCTGAGCCCTGAGCACATGTGCAAGAAACACGTAGCTGTGACACGCAGGAGCGTGGTTAGTGGGCATGGTGCTGATAGTTAGCCTTGATGATCCTGGAGTTCTTCTCCAACCTTAATGATTCTATGACTCTGTATTCATAGGCACCAGGAATCGTGTGAACCCCCCTGCACCAAATGCCTGCAGCCACCTCCAGCTGTGCTGTGAGGCAGAGGCGTACTGTCAGCTCTACAAGGCACCGTGTGCCAGTGGATCACCTCCAAAGCCACCTTGGATTGGGGACACTCCAGCTCCTTGTGTCTTGGAGAAGTGTTCTTGTTTGCCACCTGGGAAAGGAGGAGTGAAGTTTCCCAAGTGGGGTAGGGGCTCACGAACCTCTGTCAAGCCAGCACAATGTATTTTAAGCACTCTGTTTTGGAGAAGCATTTGTGTGATGTCCATTTCAGTCACTGTGTCTCACCTGTGTGTGGCTGGACTGAAATGTGGTTAACAGTCCTAGAACTTCTACCTGAGAAACAGATGAAGGCCTTTGGGTAATGCTGTCTTAGAGATGCACTTTTGACAAACAGATAGGAGTCAAGTTCCTTCTGAACATCACCCACTTAGCTTTGAAATTGGCCAGTCCTGGCATGGGCATTACCACAGAACTGTCTCACGTGGCCTCACATTTCCTGGGAAACTCCTAGGAAGGAATCTGTGTGATCTGCCTTCTTCCCAAAGAAGTTGGTGTGCCTGTGTCTCTGAAGCTTGCCAGCCCTGGGAGCTCTGCTGATGGGTGTTCTGTTGTTTCAGAGCTAGCTGAGGCACAATAGTTCTGTGAGAGTAGAAGATGTTGTTTTCACTTTGTATTTTGGCATTTGAGATGCATCTGTCTTAACAAACAGTTTGATGGCTAGTAATCATTCCAGCTCTTCACAGAGCCACAGAATCATAGGGGTTGGAAGGAACGTCTGGAGATCCCCCAGTTCAACCCGCTGCTAAAGCAGCATCCTTACAGGAGATTGCACAGAAAGCATCCAGGAGGGTTTGAATATCTCAGAGAAGGAGACAACAGCACCTCTCTGGGCAGCCTGTTCCCATGCTATGTCACCTTACAAAGTAAAGAAGTTTTTCCTTGTGTTCATATGGAATTTCTTGTGTTCCAGTTGGTGCCCATTGCCCCTTGTTCTGTCAGTGGGCACCACTGAAAAGAGCCTGGCCCTATTCTCATCACATCCACCCTTAGATATTTATATTCATTGATGAAATCCCTTCTCAGCCTTCTCTTGTCTGGGCGAACAGCCCTAGGGCTCTCAGTCTTTCCTCATAAGGGAGATGCTTCAGGTCCTGATCATCTCTGTGGCCCTCTGCTGGCTTTCTCCAGCAGTTCTGTCTGCCTGGAAGTGGGGAGCCCAGCACTGGGTGCAGTGTTCCAGATGTGCAGTTGGGAAGAAGAACCTCCCTTGACCTGCTGCACTCTCTGTGCAGTGCATCCCAGGATATCATTGGCCTTCTTGGCCATCACGACACACTGCTGGCTTATGGTCAACCGTTGGTCAACTGCTGATCATCCAGAACACCCAGATCCTTCTCTGCAGTGCTCCTTCCTGGCAGCACATCAGGATGATGTGGTTATTTCTCCCCAAGTGCATGACCCTACACTTGCCTTTGTTGGATTTCATCAGGTTCCTCTCTGCCTGACTCTCCTGTGTTGGCGCAGCCTTTTGGTGTGTCAGCTGCTCCTCCTGGCTTCATTTAACCAGCTGAAGGTGTGCTCCATCCCTTCATCCAGATTAAGATGTCAGAAGAGCCTGGCCCCAGTGCTGACCCTGGGGAACACTGCTAACTCGTGTTTCTGCTAGCAGCCTTCCACCTGGGAGTGTTGTCAGAGTAGTCACACATCTCCCTAATCTGTCTGCCTTTGGAAGAAGGAGCTGAGCTGGCCGTGCTGTTCTGATGCCAGCTGCATGTCTCAGGGCTGGCGGGATGAAGATGCAGGGCCAGTTCTTTGCATAATGCTGGTGGATGGATGAAGAGGGCTCTGCCCAGCCTGGCAGCCCTGCTTGCCCTCCCGAAGATGCTGGCTCCCTGGAGCAGCACTGTCTAGACAGACACCTGGCAGCTCCGCACCTGGGGAGTTTGCTAATTCCCTTTGTGCT